ATGATGCAAAGAAGACACCAAGATACAGATTGATCAGATGATTCTGCAGAAATGAAAGCTTGATAGCATAAGTTGCTACACTCCAGAGGTAATCCTGGCAATAAATGATGAAGTGAAAGAAGACCAAGTTCACCACTTTGAAGTCAAATGAAGATTGCATCAACATTCATAAGAATATAATTTACACAATAGATAATGCATTACATTGATACATCTAAGTGCATTCAAACATGAAGTTTTATAGATCTTCGGAAGAACAAGAAGATTCAGGGTAAAAAAATACCTTACAAGAAGAAGGTATTCAAAACCGTAAATACATGAATCACGCAAACATCTGAAGAATAGATGAACGTAATCCGCAAGAGTGAGCATTATCTTGAGATTGGGGCATGTTACCCAATCAACATGTTATTTTGAAAAATAATGAGAAAACGGTTTTCATAGTTTCTCATTCAATATTTTCTAAAAATGAAATTGTTGAATAGTAAGAAGACGATTTTCATAGTTTCTTACTTAGTAAACTATTTCTCACATCTGTAAGTCCTACAATGCATGATGTTTCCAAAAAGCCTTCGGGAGCTTTTTGATGTTTTCAAAGCCTTAGGGTCATCTGTAAGTCCTACAGTGCATGATGTTTCCAAAAAGCCTTCGGGAGCTTTTTGATGTTTTCAAAACCTTCGGGTCAGCTGTAAGCCCTACAGTGCAGAATGTTTTTTTCTTAAAACATTTCCAAGTAGAGTTCATAATGAGAAGAACTCACCTGAAGAAGGAAGAAGAAGTTCATAATGAGAAGAACTTGTTCAACTTTTTGCTTGAATTCATCATTTGATGGATCAACATTTCCAGAAGAGTTCATAATGAGAAGAACTCATCTGAAGAAGGAAGAAGAAGTTCATAATGATAAGAACTTGTTCAACCTTTTGCTCGAATCCATCACTTGATGGATCAATATTTCCAGAAGTGTTCATAATGAGAAGAACTCATCTGAAGAAGGAATAGGAAGTTCATAATGAGAAGAACTTGTTTAACCTTTTGCTCGAATCCATCACTTGATGGATCAACATTTCCAGAAGTGTTCATAATGAGAAGAACTCATCTGAAGAAGGAAGAGGAAGTTCATAATGAGAAGAACTTGTTTAACCTTTTGCTTGAATCCATCACTTGATGGATCAACATTTCCAGAAGTGTTCATAATGAGAAGAACTCATCTGAAGAAGGAAGAGGAAGTTCATAATGAGAAGAACTTGTTTAACCTTTTGTTCGAATCCATCACTTGATGGATCAACATTTCCAGAAGTATTCATAATGAGAAGAACTCATCTGAAGAAGGAAGAATAAGTTCATAATGAGAAGAACTTGTTTAACCTTTTGCTCGAATTCATCACTTGATGGATCAACATTTCCAGAGAAAGTTCATAATGAGAAGAACTTATCTGAAGAGGAAGAAGAAATTCATAATGAGAAGAATTTGTTCAACCTTTTGCCTGAATTCATCACTTGATGGATTAACTTTTCCAGAGAAAGCTCATAATGAGAAGAACTCATATGAAGAAGGAAGAAGAAGTTCATAATGAGAAGAGCTTGTTCAACCTTTGTTTGATGCTATCACAGAAGAAAATAGATCAGTATCAGCATTTCCAGAAGGAGTTCATAATGAGAAGAACTCATATGAAGAAGGAGGAGAATTTGTTCAACTTTTTGCTAGATTACATCACAGAAGGAGATAAATCGCCTTTCCCAGTGAAAAAGTTCATAATGAGAAGAACTAATCCCAAAGAAGAATTTGTTCAACATTTCCATCATAATCAAGTGAAGTCAAATGAAAAAAAAAACTTATTATCTTTTCGTCTTTTCCCTATTCTTGTTAATACAAGAATAAGCAAAGAGGGGCTGAAGATACTCGTTTTTTTCATTTGAATATTATTTATATTTTATTATTATAATTATAATTATAATTATTATATTATTATTATTATTATTAAATAATTTTATTTATTTACTATTACAGACCCAACCCAAATACAGAGGCCCATATTCGGTAGCCCAATAGTAACCATAAATGTTTAGGATTTGTATCATCTCATGCCCTAGCCGCCAGCTAATCACCGCCATTGGATCTGGAAAGATCCAACGGCCACCATTGAGCCATATGAAAACCCTAGGGTATCATACCCTAGGGCCACGTCGCCACTGCCTGAAGCTTCCAGTGCCACGCCACCTCATCGCCGACACTCCAGAAGCTCTGCTGCCATGACTCTGACCGTCCACGTGGTTGCCTATGGTGAGTCACCACCATAGCTATGGTGACTCACCAGAAAATCACCAATAGAACCGGTCCGAGGCTAGTACCTGGATGGCTACAAAGCCTCATCACACCTGCAAACAAAAAAAACGGACAGGAGGCCACAGCAAGCAAAGACGGAGAGCAAGAGACCAAAGATTGAAGAAAAACACCAACAAACCACAAAGCAAACCACAAAACAAATAGAGAAGAGCGAGAGAAACTTACCGAGGAAGACAACACCTCGATCAGAGTCACCACTAGCCTCCAAGAATCACCAAAAACCTTTGAAAACCGAAGGTACTTTCGTAGATTTGCTCCGATTGGGAGCTTTTTAGGGAAAAAGGACACCGAAATCGGTATTAGCACGTTCCGATCTATATTTTGGGGGGTTTTAAAATTTTCCGTGGTCATTGCCACCAGAGCGCGGTGGCCGGCATGGTTGTCGGATTTTCTTCATCGAGAGAAATTTAGAGAGAGGCGAGAGAGTCTCTCTCCTAGAGAGAGAAAGAAAAATGGCTATTTTGGGCCGGTTAAAGGGTTTAAAAATCCTCTCTCAAACGACAGCGTTTTGGGGGAGGGTGTATGCGTAATTTCACTAAAGGGTAAACCCTTTCCGTAGTGTTCCACGTTTGTAATGTTTTCAATTTAATCACTGAAATCAATTTTAATATGTTTTAATATGGTCTTCTAACTTTATTAATTTATAATTTAGTCCCTAGCAGTATTTATATATTTTAGGATAAATACTTTATTTAGTCCCTGGTAATTTCAATTACTTTTATTTTGATCCCTAATAATTAATTAGGTCAAACTACACTATTAATACATATATTTTTAATAATTCGAATTAGGTCTGCGATTTTTAATATTTTACCTTTAATAACTGATGTTTTATATAATTTTATTTTAGTCCCTAAATTAATAAATTGATAAAATAGCATATCTAATCCCTGTAGTTTTAAATAAATTATAAATTAAGTATTTAATTTTATTAGATTATAATTTAGTCTCTAAGATTAATATTTTCATTTATTTTACAAGATTTATTACTTTTTACATTTTAATACTATGTTTTAATTTTATTAATCATATTTTACTTTCATATATTTATGATTATATATTTATCATTAGTATTACTATTATTATTTATTATTTATGTCAATATATATATATATATATATATATATAATATTTATCTAAGTCTTATAAATATATATAAATAATGTTTATTTATTTTATGAAAATACTATTTATAAATTTAATATATTATTTTTAAATCATTTCAATCATATTTTAATATATATCAATATTAAGAAAGGACAGTCTTAAAGCAACTGGATGTCCATTTTCTGATAAAAAATATTTTAATATATAAATCTATTTTTATATTATATTTTATTAAAATTTATTTATTTTTTTAATATTAAGAAATGAGCTGTCTTATAGCACCTAGAAGCCCTTTTCTGATATTTCTAAATAAATAAATATCTTGTTTAATAAAATATATATATTAATATATTATCTTAAAATTATATTAATAAACTTAACAGAATTATGGATTAAATATATTTTTGAACTTTTAAATTTTCAATAATAGAGACAATTTATAATTAATAAGTACCAATTTTGGGCGTTGTAGGGGTGCTAATCATTCCCTAAACGTAACTGACCACGAATCCCTTTTTATTTCTAAAAAGAACAAATTTTTGGTTAAACGCGGATCAGTTTATCTTTTAACTGATGTTTTCTTAAAAAACTCTTTTAAAAGATAATTTTTAGGTATTCGACCTACCTGACCCAAAAGGCCGATGACGACTCCCAAACCATTTTTTTTAATTATTTTGTATCTACATTATTTTTCCCGCCAAGTAAAAATTTGTGTCCGGACGAAAACCGGTTACGACACACCCCTTTGACACTTTGATTGCTTATATGTATAAATATATTTGGATGTTATACGGTTCGAGAATCGTTGCCATTGTATGATATATTAAATGAATTTTAAAAGGGTCATAGCCGCATGGCCTTCGTTGTAAGACAATGCAACAAGACAGATCAGACGCCCTCTAGTAACTCTGTTAGGAGTAAGTATCAGCCTCCCTGGGACATATTCTTTCCAATTTTCACTCATACCATGATTTAGCAGATCGTATGAACATATTTATGATGAAATTCTTGCCACTGATATTTATTATTGTGATCTTTGTCTCTTGACATGGTCCCTTGCCAGAAGTGAAAGTCGACATAGACGGTGACAAACATCACCGAGATAGTTCTTTAAGATGAAAGCGTTCACTTAAGAAATGGAAAAGCTTTCCCATCGCTGGTAATTCTAGTGGTTCTCGGAGCAGGAAGTGGACAAACGGGGTTGATTCAGACGTCCTATATCTAAATGGCAATCCACTCCCGAGACACTCCGAAGAGGCTGTTGGCATAATAACAATGGAAGATATCATTGAAGAGCTTTTACAGGTATCATTACCCTTTACCATATTTAGCAGCAAGCATCTGATTCCTCTTCTGTCAACAGTTCCTCACACATTTGCCTTATGTTTGTGCCCTTGGCCAGGAGGAGATCTTTGACGAGATAGATCATCAGTACAACGACTCATGATATCCGTCTTAATGCAAGTTTTTCTGCTAAAATGCTTAGTTGGCAGTCGTCTCCTCTAGATGGCGGTATAAAGAGGGATCAGAGAAGGAAAAACTCAAACTCTGGTGTTCAAGCATATATGATCAATTAGCATCATAGAATAAGAACTAAGAATCCAGTAGTATACAGAAGTTGACAAATATTCAGCTTCACTTGCTATGTTCACTTCTGTTCTCTTCTTTCTTCTACTTATCTCTACCTTTTTCTTTAGATTTGTGCTTCTTACTGTGTTTTTTATCCGATCTCGCAAGGTCGTCCTTATCTTTCTTCTTTCTATGTACATGGGGATCTGAATCGAAAAAAGACTCATCATGCCTCAGTGAAGAAGGCTTCTCAGGACCCAACTTGACAAGATGTTCCATTCCGAGGGAGGTTGTCGGAAGCTTCCCTGGGAACGTAGAACTTGTGGGCAGATAAGGTCCAGTGTCATACATCCTTGAACCTATAGAACCTCGACCATGCTTCACCCTGTCATCATAAAATAGGTTTCAGGTCAGTTGAGGAAACATTTCACCGTTTGCTTTCCCTAATAACCATCTAAGTCAACATGCATAGGCTAAGGAGGGGCTTCAAATGCCAAGAGACTCATCCTGTCAAACCACTAATTCTTCCTCAACATAATGATTTTTTCCGTATAAATTCAGTACAAACCTTGACTGAAGAAATTCATTGATCTCCTCGTCTCTTAGACCTTCATCTTCCCTTGAATAACTACCCTCTTCTACTCTTTTGCTTGATGAGCATGAAGCACTAACATTGCTCTCATGCCTCCTATTCGTGCTTCTATAAGAAATGCTACTATCCAGATGACTACTGTTATGCCCGCCATTGTCTTTTGATGGGGGCAATGCCGAAATACAATTGAGGCACCCACTTCGATTCTCCTTCGAAATCGACAACCACAACCCAAACCCTACCTCTCTCAATCGGGAGGGAGAACCGACCCGCTAGCTTTACTTTAACTAATGAGGCTTTTTTTATGTTGAAAAAAATAATGAGGCGTTTTTGTTCTACTTTTACCGTTTTATTTAATCAACTCTTAATTGTAATTTTTTTATTTCAATAAATTATATTCATAATCATTCGATTATTAATTAATTTACGTTTTAATTATTTAATTTCTAATAGGAGTATGATATATTTGTTAAATAATAGACATACTAATATATTTAATTTCAAATATTTATATATTTTATTAATTTAATATAGAATTATAAAACAGGTAACGTACACAAATGATTCACCGATTATAAGAAGTTACTTGAAGTTACTTTATTGAGTCATTCAATTATTAAAAGTTACAAAAAAATTATCTGACTATTCATATGTTCCAAACTCATCCTTTTTTGTTAAAAAATCGACGACATTTTGAGTTGAACGTTAACCTACTGACTGTGGTATGATAAAATTTGATCACAAAATCTTAAACGACTATCATATCTTAGTCAACAGGTTATCGTCAAGCTCAGACTGTTATCAATTTTTTAATGAAAAAGAATGAGTTTGCAACAAATGAATAGTCGAATGATCATTTTGTAACCTTTAACGGTCGAATGACTCAACAAAACAACGTATTATATTTTGGGGATTATTTTATAACTTTTAATAGTCGGGAGATTCAACAAAACAATACCTATAATTAGATGATCATTTGTGTACTTTACCCTTATAAAAACATCCGCAATCAATTTTTAATTTTAGCATAGTTCAAGACAAAAGAAGAAAAAGGAAAAGGAAAAGGAACTAGATGAACATATCTTAAATCTGAATCTGTCATGACTCCAAACCAGATGGCGGATGATCCAAAACGATTACATTTGCTTTATACTGTGGTTGAACAGCAACTAGAGCCTTGATTACATTATTTCCTTGACAGAAAACTGGTGCAAATATATTACAAGGAAGAAGAAGAACAAAAGACCTACATATTTTAGATTTATTATCACCTGCTTCTATTGCTACCTATCTGCTGCAACTATGGTCCAAATGAGCCAAGCAAGAAGAAGAAGCTTCCAAGTGCTTGCTGCTCACTCGGGGTTCCAAATTCCATGGAATTACTGGATGAGGAATTCAATAGCTTCGGATTTACTTACCGTTGTTCTTCCATTCCTCAGTGGGGCTACTTTCACCTTTTTTATGAACAATAATATCAGTAAGTTTACAAGGTTCGGCCTCCTCCAGCATTTGAACTACCTTTCTCATGCTAGGTCTAAGCGTCGGAATCTTCGCCGTGCAGTGTACTGCAATTCTTAACACCTTGACGGCGTCTTCCTTTGATGCAGTTGAGATGCTAGAGCCCACAACCTCGACTGAAGTTTCTTTGGTCTTCAGTTTATTATAGATCCAGTAAACTATGTCCTTGTTCTCTCCGAATTCGGGCTCAACCGGCCTTTTCCCCGTGACCAACTCCATAAGCACAACTCCGAAGCTGTAAACATCGCTCTTCTCGTTTACCTTGCATGTGTATGCAGACTCTGCCATTAAATTATGCAGCAATTAAAACCAAATCAGAAGCTTTTTCAATGCAAGTTACTTGAATCATATGAACAAAAGCATAAGAAACTTACCAGGAGCCATGTAGCCATGAGTTCCGGCTATAACATTAGTCCAATCCCCTCCATTGCTGTCCTGCACGATCTTTGCGAGTCCAAAATCAGCAATCCTCGGCTTCCACTCTTCATCTAACAAAATATTGCTAGACTTCACATCACGGTGTATCACCGGTCTGTCGCATCCGTGATGCAAATACTCTAACCCTCTTGCAGCTCCTAATGCAATGGAGTATCTCGTCTCCCAGTTCATCTCCATCTTTTGACATGAATGCAGCCTGTCCCATAAGCTCCCATTCGGTAGATACTCGTAAACCAGCAGGTTGCTATCCTCGCTAGTAATGCTACAGTACAGATTAACCACATTCACATGCCTAATGGCACTCAATGCTGCTACCTCTGCATCATATTCTAGAGACCGGAAGCTCCTTTGTGTTAGCATAGTTGTACTGCTTTGATAGCTTCTACGATTTCTGGAATCCGAGATCCAAATATGCTTCACAGCAAGTTCTTTGCCATCTCCGAGTTCAACTTTATAGACATTCCCTGATCCACCTTTACCTATTAGATTCTGCAATTTGACAGCATCGATGATATCCTTTTCGGTGAAACTCAGCATGCGATATGATTTCATGTTCCAAGAAACCTTCTTCAATGGATGATCAAGATTACTCTGCTTCGCCCTCACAAACATGTAACATCCTAATGATACGAGCAGGACTAATATTCCAGCTATGAAACAGGATAAAAACATGCGAAGATGACTCGATGTACCGGGATTTGACGAACACGGCCGGAAGTTCTCGAGATCCGAGCTGCATAGGCCCGGATTCCCCTCAAAGCAGTCTTTGAAAGCCTGAATAGATAATGATTTCGGTATGGGACCGACTAACTGGTTGTTCGACAAGTCTAGAAGGCTTAATCTAGAAGATGACAAGGTGGCCGGAATATCACCCGAGAGTTTGTTTTCGGATAAATTCAAGGAGTTAAGGTTACGTAAATATCCTATACTCTCGGGAATTTTACCGGAAAGTGAGTTACCAGCAACGTTTACATCATTCAAAGAAACACAAGAGCCTAATGCATCTGGTATGACACCAGAAAACATGTTACCATTCAAATAAAGACTGCCTAGGAGTTTTAATTCTCCAATGGTTACCGGAATTTGGCCCGAAAATATATTCAAACTAAGCTGAATCGAGACTAATGATGAAGCTTGAGAGATTGAAGTAGGCAATTCCCCTGAAAACTGATTATTGGCCAAGAAAAGTTGTGCAAGAGACTTGGCATTACCAATATCACCCGTCACTGGACCTTCAAAACGATTCATGCTAAGATCAATTATGGAGAGATTCGGCAAACTCCATATTCCGGCAGGGACGGTCCCCGACAGCGAATTGTTATTCACTCGTAATCGAACCAACGACTTACAGTTCGTGTAGCTCTCCGGGATTGAGCCAGTGAAGCTGTTCTGCAGCAAAAGAAGACCAACCATTTTGCCATTCTTGCACATATCTGGTGGTATAGGACCTGTCAAAAAATTCTCCGAAACATCTATGAAATTAAGATCCGACGAAGACCCGATTTTCGTTGGAAGCTGACCAGTAAGTTTGTTCCTCTATAGTGATAGTCCTACAAGGTGCTTGAACTCACCAAACTCCACTGGAACCTCTCCTGAAAATTGGTTTTCAAAGAGCTGCAACGAAGCAAGATTCTTCAACGATCGTAACTCCGATAAGTCGCCTTCGAGCATATTCATCGACGCATCAAAGTTCTTAAGGTTCGAAAGGTTTCCGAATCCAACAGGTAATTTCCCCGACAGTGAGTTGTTGTAAAACTCAAATTGCCAAAGCTTGTTAAGTTTGGTAATTCCAGCTGGGATTGGACCCGACAATCTGTTATCGGAGAGCTCAAGATTTTGCAGCAGAGTGAGATTCTGAATTCCCTCAGGAATATGTCCAGTGAAGCTGCAATTTGTGAGATAAAGCCAAAACAATTTCTCAAGCTTCAGAACTTCAAGAGGAAATGGACCTGCATCGAACGGATTGTCACCGAGGCTTAAGAAAGTCAATTCCGTGAGATTTTCCAGTGATTTCCATGGGAAAATCCCGGAAAATCCACTGTTGTTCAAATTCAAGAACTTCAATCCAGTTAAAGAAGACAAATCAGGCACTTTTCCAGAAAAAGCATTGACTCCCAAATCCAAGTATTGCAGGCTAGAACATTTCTTCAGGTACTCCGAAACATTCCCATGGAAAGAATTGTTCCCGAGATCAATCTTCAGCAGTGATCGCAACTCGCAGATTGGATCAAAAGGAACATAACTCACAATTCGTGGTTGGGGAAGATTGATTTCGGTGACGAACCCATTCGAATTGCAAACAACTCCGGCGAAGTCACATGCAGAGTTCCCTTGTTTCCATGAACTGAAAACGTTAGGATCCGAGCTTTCAACAGCTGATTTGAACTTCAGCAACATCTCCACTTCATCAGATTTTGCATAAGAAACGATGAAGATGAATGAAAAGAGAAAGATGGTCACATGAAGAGGCCATCGCTGGGAGCTTCGCCGGACCGGCATGGCGGTCAGTGAAGGCCGAAGGTAGTGGAGAGGCTATTGAGAAAGAGAAAGCGTGGAAAATGGGAACGCGATAGAGAGCATGCGTATACAACGAGGGGAGAGCTTTATTTGTAAATTAATTGAATTTGATTTACGTGTAGGAATTTGTGTCCGGAGTCCGAGTATAAAAAATTATATTAAAAATTTAAATTTAAAGAATGTGATATTATTAAATAATTAAGGATACGAATTAAATAATTTATATAAAATATATATTTAATATACAAAAAATCTAAAATTTTCAGGAATACACATATTTCTAACACCCCTTAATCTATTGCTACGTGTAGATATATGGAGACCAGATGATCGGCCATTAAAATGAAAATTAAGATACGTAAGCTCAACGAACAACAAAATAAGCGTAAATTTGTATTTAGTCCCTTAACTATTTAAGTAATTTTGTTTGATCATTTACTAATTTTTTAATTATACCTGAACTTATATTTTATTCCGTTTTAGTCACCTATTGTTAAAAAGTAATAATGATGCTGACATATCACCATAAGATAGTGTCTCTTTATCATTGAACGTAACTAAAATAAATTAAAAATATAATTTAAGTATAATTTTGAAAAAAATAATTTAGTGATTAAATTTCATCACAAGGGAAATACGGGTTTATCTTAGGAATTTTAAAATAAAAATGTATAATTTTGTCCCCATCCCTATACTCTTCAAACTTTCTAATTTCAATTTTTTCCTACGTATCTAATTTAAAATTAAAGTTCAAGCATGAACTAACTTACTTCTGTGATTTAAAGGAATTATTGCTATTCCTATATATTACGGGTTCGAGCATCTACGATTGCAAGGATGATTGAGTGTTCAATGTCAAATAGTTAAGAATACTTAGAATTGAGTTAGATTTAACAATGAAAACCTATATAGATAATTTTATCAATTGAATTTTGATTTTCAAATTACTATATAGATAGGAAGAGAGGCTAAGCAAATGAAAATAAAAGTAGATAAATAATCAATTATCAATTGGTTTAATACAATAAGAGATTAGACCTTGTTTATGGTTTAAATTTTAATATTATTAATAAAATAATTTAGATTAATATATTTGATTTTATAATAGATCTTTGTAGTATGTAATTTAGATAAATCGATTAATACGTTGAACACTAAAATTATTCCAAAAGTAGAGGGATTAAATCTTAAAAGTTGAAAGAAAGAGACTGGAGGTAGAATTACGCCAAAACAGAAGTTCTTGGTCAGCATTTCACACTGGTCGACGTGAAATTTTGGAAAGGTGCACTGAGATGGGACAGCACTGGCATGCGTTAAATTGGCTGTGGACTTCCAATTCAATCAAAAATTGCACGTTTGTGTCTAGGTATGTAAAAGAACCGAACGCATATAAACGGAGTTATATTTATGTTCGTTCATTTAATAAATAAACGAACACGAATATAAATGAATAAATTTTTTTTTGTTCATGTTCATTTATTAAGGAATATAACTTGTTTATGTTCGTTCATTTAATAAATAAACGAACACGAACATAAACGAACACGAACATAAATGAACACGACCATAAACGAACATAAACGTTGGAGATCATACCTTTCATTGTTCTTTCATGAAAAATAGTCGACAATGCAAATCAACCAAATCTATAGTGATAAATAGCGAAAGAGTTGATTAGCAGTGATGAAATGTTTGAAGATATTAAATATTTCAATCGATCTTTTAAAGATATTAAATGATTCACACGACTTTAATTTAACGATATAACATTTATCTTAGTAGTACATGATTACATATGAACAATTATTTCCATTACGTTATTCTAATAAATTTGCCGGCTAAAAGTTTTGTGACATCAATGTCAGACTTTAGTGAGGTTTGTTAATAATGGTCCTTTCCGTT